CTTAAAGTCAAAAAAAGGTGAATAGTGACCAATTTTGAAACTTAATTGATATTAAGTGACCATTTGATGGTTTATTACCTAAATAGCCTTTTTATAATATATTATTATGTAAGTAGACAAATTTACCCTCTACATTAACCTAAATAAATACTTATTTAAAATAGATAAAGGGTGAAAAAAAGATAATGTTGGTAAAGAAATCTTAATTTTTTAAATTGGTAAATTATAAACTAAAAAGGAAAAAAAGAAAACGTTGGATTGGAGAGAGAGAGAGTAGGAGGATGATGAATTTAATGACTTATTATTTATATTGGATGGCAATTTTGTCATCTAAAATTTATTTTTAAAATGTTTATCCTTAAATGGACACTTAATATTAATTAAGTTTCAAGATTGGTCACTATTCACCTTTTCTTGACTTTAAGATCACTATATAGCAATTATGTTTAATTTTGGTCACCAAAATATAATTTTCCTAATATTTTAAAACCTTTAAACTTGAAGTAATTGACCATCTAATAAAATTCGTGGTGAAATCAAGCCCTAAGTATTTTTCTCTTAATTTCAATCTTTGATGCATTTGTTTATTTTTATTTTTCTTAATTATTTAAATACAGTCAAAACAAACAATTTATCTTTCTAAATTAAATTAGCAATTAATTGAATACTTGAGAATCTATCACAGTATTTAAGGTTCAACACTCTCAACATAATCTTATCCTACAAGAATTTGTACTATTACAAGTAATTTATCATTAAAAACCCACGTCACTTAGAACTCCTCATGCAACTGTTGGCTTTTCTCGAGAGATATAAAGAAAGAATAGGAACAAAAATTGACCAAGATCTTTCGATTTTCAAAGCAAAACACCACCAAGACGATTAAGAGAGAGAACAAAATTTGGGAATTTGGGGATTTAGTTTAGGGTTTGTTTAGGTGTGTGTGTCGATATATATAATGTATTTAATTGGGTCAAACGGTAAGAAAAGGGCATTATAGTCCTTTTATTTTATAAGGGCAGTATAATCTTTAAATTTGATAAAGAGGGTCACGTGACATCACATGTTCACCTTAAGAGTAATATTCCATCGGAGTGTCTACGGAGGGGCGATCTGTTACAAAATTGTAAGTTTAGGGGTTTTATTACAACTGCTGTAGTTCATGGGGGGTTTTTGCAGAAATGCGAATAGTTCAAGAGTTTTTTTTTGCATTTAATCCTAATAAATAGTTAATTTGTGCTAATACATAGAGAACATATAAATTTGTTATTAAAAAATAATGTACTGAAACACTTTTAATGTAATGTACTGAAATACAATAATGTATTGAAATTCTGTATACTTTTAATAATAATATAGATATAGATTAATATGCAGCGGATAAAATATAATAATAATAAAATTTATGATTGAAATAATGATCACCATAAATATAATATAAATATAGATATAATATTAATAACATTTATCATTAATATAATTTAATTATATTTTTATTAAAATATTCATAAGAGGCCATGCATATGAAATTATTGAAGATGTCTCTATAACCTAATGGGTTAATGCCTCCTGTTTCGACTATTTACATTTACTAATCTAATTTCTAATACTTCTAACTTCTAATACTTCTTGTCTTGTAAAAAAAAAAAAAAAAAAAAAAAAAAAAATTATTAGTAAATATAAATCAATAATTGCATAAAAAATACTCACCTAGACAATTTAGGTTGTATTCATGTAAATACATAGAAGACACAAGATCGATGATGATGATTTAAAAAACTTCCCTGCACATTTAATACTTTGTTATCTGTGCCATTTATTAATTATATTATATCACACAAATAAAAATATTTTATTTTAATGGGCCAACAAGCGCAAATTTTTTTTTCTTGATCCCGAGAATTATTTGTATATTTATTTAATTATGTATCCCGTGAAGGTGTGTGCCTCTGGACCTGTTGGGTACTTGCATGGCGTGGCTGCCCTTCACCAATCACAGGCGTACTTTCATGACATGCTGTTCGGGCAACAAAACAGACAGTTCACTCCTTCATTCCTCTCATTCTCTGCTACATTCTGTCTCTCTATTCTCTACACGAATTAATCGCATAGGATTAGTTGTCAGTTTTTTATAAACAAAAAACTAAAAAAAATGGGACTTCTTCAATTTTTATTTATTTATTTATTATTTATTATTATTATTTTTTTACCTTCTATGGAAAAAGACAGGAAGTAATGCAATTATTCTATTAGGTCACTCCTTCATTCCTCTCATTCTCTGCTACATTCTGTCTCTCTATTCTCTACACGAATTAATCGCATAGGATTAGTTGTCAGTTTTTTATAAACAAAAAATTTAAAAAAATGGGACTTCTTCAATTTTTATTTATTTATTTATTATTTATTATTATTATTTTTTTACCTTCTATGGAAAAAGACAGGAAGTAATGCAATTATTCTATTAGTTCTAGAACTAATGCTTATATAAATACACACATGACACGTGTAAGACTCATAAATCTTTCCTTTGACAATACACAGATAATCTTTCGGGCGGCTTAAGATAATTTGAGTCATTAGGTAAAAAAATATATATATAAAGTGACCTTTTAATTATTTTATTTTATTTTTCTCTTAGGTCACGTATATCGATTCCATAATAAACGCACTATTCAAATCAAGGGTGCGATTTAAATCCCAGACAATGCCACTATGTCCCGGGACTAAGTGACTTTTTAATATGTAATGTCAATAATAATTAATTATTTTTATTTAAAAAGCATCCTTCTTGCTTTTTATTAAGTTGCTTAATAAATTCTTGTATTAGGAAGAATAAAAGAAGTAGAGGTAAGATAGAAAATCGGACTTAATTATTTGAGCACACTATTTAAATTTTGCTTTTGGTTGGGTCTAATAAGGAAATAAAAAATTTATAAAAGTAATAATATAAAAAAATAAATTTTAACTTGGCTAGGCCATGATAGAGTTTAAAAATGCAAAAACTCCCCGACTTGGCTAGTTGACGTGGTATAATTTTCACAACGTTTACTGTACTCAAATATAAGAATTTGATTTGTACAAAATTTAGAACAAAAACTCAATGTTTTACAATTTTTCAATGCTTTGTAATTTTTCTTTAAATTCTTCTATTTGTTTTTGTTTATGGGAGTCACATACATTATTATTTTTGATTATTGCAATGAATAAATACCTATCAAAGTAATAGATAGATATTAATGATTGTAATTTTTCTTTAAATTCTTCTATTTGTTTTTGTTTATGGGAGTCACATACATTATTATTTTTGATTATTGCAATGAATAAATACCTATCAAAGTAATAGATAGATATTAATGACCAAAGATACAATCTTTTATATATAACGAGATATACAGAATCTAATTATACATAGGAGATGCAATCTTAAGTATCTCAAGAGTTCTTAGAAAGATGCAATGTAATATATATATATATATGACTGTTCACCTGCTCACTGGTGTGATCTTAATCATTGGATATAAAATAATAAACTACCTTTTTAACTGTCTAATGTAATATAACGGTTAATACTTGAGGTGTGCATACGTTTTCTTGCACACCAGGGAGCAAGTGAACAATTCTGTATATATATATATATAACACATATACAATTTGATGTACATGATGGTTGAAACTTTAATTCACTACAAATATAAATATACTATATTAAGATGAAACGTAGAAAAGGAATTAAACTTTCTAAATAATTAATTACCTTATATTTTAAAATGGATCCCATTATATTTGACACATGGTAGATTCGGTGAAACAGTAAGTTTTTATTTTTCGGGCTAAATTGCATGACTCCTTATATGGTATAATTGAAAGGAAAAAAAACGAAAAAAAAAAAAACGTAGTGCTTCCTATCTCCTCTCACAAATAGGAAACTAAAAACTCTCCAAAATTGGAGGGAGAGAGAAAGAAAATAATCACAAATCCGAAATTAATTTCCGTGTTCCATATTTCTAAAATTATTATCTAAGAGAAACTAAAAACTCTCCAAATAAGCTAAAATGATTTGATATATTGAAACTTTATAGTTGTATGAATTTTTATTTAGAAATATGGAATACAGGAACAAATACTTCCGGTTTGTAATTATTTTATTTTGCTTCAATCTTCCTAATGAATTTTTATTTTCTGAATTTAGAAATATGAAACACTGGAATAAATAATTTCCAGTTTGTGATTATTTTCTTTCTTTCTTTCTCTAATTTTGGAACGTTTTTAGTTTCTTATTTGTGAGGGAAAGGTGGAAGCACCATATTTTCTTTTCTTTTTTTCTTTCATTATTTTCCCTTTAAGTTAGTTATATAAGGTAATAGAGGACTCTTTCTTTTTTAACTATAGCCCAATTCAGATTTGAATAGTTTTTGTGACGATTATCATTACTCTATAAAAAAAAAAAAAAAAAAGGTGATCGAGGGAAGGACGAAAAATTGAAGAAGATTAGATAAGGATAAAATATAGGAGCTAATTCTTTGAGCCCACTATTTAAATTTTGCTATTGGTTGGGTCTGATAAGGAAATAAAAAATTTATGAAAGTAATAATATATGAAAATAATTTTTTGGGACTTCTGCTATTGATTGAGTTATAATAATATAAGGAAATAAAACTTTAGAAAAGTAATAATATAAGGAAATAATTTGTTTGGGGGCCTCAAGTTCTCACCTATTGATCGGGTTTAATAATATAAAAAAATAAAAACATTTGGAAGGTAACAATATACAAGTAAATAAATATTTACTTGTATATACAATTTGATAAATATGTACAATTTGATTACTTCAATTCTTGTTACCTCTTTTTTTCAATGTTAATTACCATAAAAGACGGCATTAATGAACCGGGCTCAGTCTACCTTGTTTCAATCAACGATAACATACATACATGTCTATTTACTATCTACTCTATAAATACCCTTTGAAACATATATCCACATTTACCCAAAAAGTGAAAATGAGACTCACTAAAATTTCACTAGCCACTTTTTACTTCATGGCCTTGGTCTTGACCATGGCTCAAGTCTCCCTAGCCCAGAACACCCACCATTACTTTCTTGCTGCCCACAACTCCGTCCGTGCCCGAGTCGGGGTGTCACCTCTCGCATGGAATAAGACGGTGGCTGCTTATGCCAGAAAGTACGCCACCACGAGGTTGGGCGATTGCAAATTGGAACACTCGAGTGGGCCCTACGGAGAAAACATTGCTGAGGGTTCCGGTGACTTCACCGCGGTGGAGGCCGTGAAGCTTTGGGTGGGAGAGAAGTCAAACTATGACTACAACTCCAATTCATGCGTGGGTGGTGAGTGCTTGCACTACACTCAAGTGGTTTGGCGCAATTCGGTCCATCTTGGGTGTGCTAGAGTTAAGTGCCACAATGGTTGGTGGTTTGTCACTTGCAACTATGATCCTCCGGGAAATTATGTAGGAGAGCGCCCTTACTAATATATATATTTGTGTGTGTGTGTGTGTCTGATGCACAAATAAAATGTTATTGCATGACTTTATGCTTGAGTCCATGCAAAATTGTGATCATTTTTCTTATATTAAGCTTTGGTTGATATGTTCATTAAATTCACTTTGCCATTAGCAAAATAGGGTTACCAAAAAATATAGGGTTGAAGAAACTAATGTGTTGTGACTTGTGAGACTTCACGATGATTTTGATTTTTTCTTTTTCTTCTAGCATTATGAGATACCCGTGTGAAACTCTTTTGTTGGAAGTATCAAATTGGAGTTATGAAACTAAAATTGAAATTGATTTTTTTTTTTTAATTTATTTGCCTAAAATGTTCAAAAACTATATATTGGCACTTTCATATAAAGTTGCTAAGAAGAATAACAATATAAAACCAAAATCACTGCCTAAAACTGTTGAAGAAATATTAAAGATAAGTTTGGAATGTGCTATTTTTTCTTTTTCAAACTGAATGTTGATGTATACATACATATATATATATATATACGAGGAATGATCTCATGTTCATCAGTGAACAAGAAATTCATCCAACCCATATTCAACTGGTTGTAACAGATTAATTTTGGATTGGGTGGAAGGTTGACCTGCCAACCCCTTCTTTTTAAGGAAAAAAAAAAGAAGTTATTATTTTGGATAATCTTATTATTATAGTTTTATTTTTTTATTTTTATTTATTTTAGATGGATAAAAGCTTATAAAAATATGTATGGATAATTGTAAATTATCTAATTTATTTTGAAATTTCTTTAAATTTGTACTTCCTCTCCCCTAGAAAGAGTGCCATGTTTGGGGAACTAACATTTATGGGATATATATATATATATATATATATATATATATATATATATATTATATGAAATCATCTCTTATTCCTTTTATAGAATAAATAATTAAATAATTAAATTAGGTCCTCATACTTTGAGATAACTTTGAGATACAGAGAATTTTAGAAAGGGAGAGGTGAATTTGAATCAAATAGAAATTGTTATATAATTGGTGAAATATCAGTCACACTCATTTTGGCCTATATATTAAAATAGTTCACCCATATTCATTTTAAAGCGATGAATATGTTTTGGTGTGAATTGTGAATGATTGGATTGTATGATTTTTTGTTATAAAATTTTGTAATATATTTTGTACAAAAATACAAAATTGATGGTGGATACTAAGTTGTATATGTTTATATTCTTATATATATTACGACATATATTTAATAGGTTAGTGTTCATAGAGAGATGGTAATAGGTTAAGAAATATTTAACAAGGTTAATTACGAAAATATTATCTCAAACCGTATTTATCTTCCAAATCCCGTCAAATCCCGATTTTTTAGACTAGATTTTTTAGACTGGATTTGGAACGTGTTAAAAAATACCAAACAACGTAAATCCTGTTTCCAAATTCAAATCCAAATCTCATCAAATTCAGTAGTACAGTACAAAGAGGATCAAATTACTCTTTTAAATTATTTCCTCTTTATTTTCTATCATGATTATACCTACTAACCTTTCTTCTTTCCTTTGTAACACATATTTAAATTTATTTTTTTCCTTTATTTTTAACTATTGTCTTTTTCTTCTTTCCTGATTTGAGATATATGTACACTTTATGCTTTACTCTCTTTACATGAAATAATATTATGAGATGGAGTTTTAATTGAAGTAATATTATAAAATTTGAATTTTAGTTGATATGTGATACTATGGTTTCACAATTTGAGAACAAAGAAAAGGAAAGAATTAAAAATAAAATTAAAGGATAGAAACAATCAATTCACGCAAGTTTTATTTTTCAAAAAAATAGAAAATAGACTTTAACCATAACTTTTATAATTAATTTTTTAATCAAATCATATGCGCATTATTGATGGTCAAATAGAAAAACAACTTTACAAATTTGATATATTTACAGAGTTGCCCATTTGGGGATCCAACTGTACTCATGGAATGGTGGATGCGCCCATTTCAACAACTCAGTAATTATCGGTCGTTAAGATGGAACCCACATATAAGACTTTGCACCAACGTCTATTAGCCCAGCTCGCGGTAATTGTGGCTTATGGTAAGGAGACTCTCAGTAATTATCGGTCCTTAAGATGGGACCCACATTCATTCATGTGCCTTTGCCCCGTGGGTCAGATACCAGAAGACTTGCAAAGACTGACTTCTGTTCTCGTTTGGAGTTGCTATTGAAATTAAAAAAATATTTTTATCGGTATAATTGGCAAAAAAAAAATTAAGATTAATAAAATATATGTTAGGTATTTAATTACACATTATAAAAGTACATTTGATAATTAAATTATTTCTTAATTTATTTAGTAATAATAATTTTTTAAATATTTTTATTGTTAATTTTATAATAATATTCTTTAATAATATGTTACCAAGTATTTGATGATACATTATAAAAATGTTTTTCATAATTAAATTATTTTTTAATTTATTTAGTAATAGTAATTTTTAAGCTTTAATTTCAGTGACACCTATTAAGGTTTGACCAAATATTACATTGAAACATCTTTCGAAAATTAATTACTTAGGTTTATTTTTACTTTTCGATCACTAAATCATTAAAAACGTATGAAAAGACAATTTTACTTCTAATTTTTTAATCGTATTTATTACAAAATTAAATACAAAATAATATCAATCTAAAATAACTAATTTGTCCCCATTAATCACCCCACCCACCCACTCCTCTATCTCATATCATGGAAAGCAAATCTTACGTGCAAATGCTACAAATTCTTGAACCCATTAATATAATGGTATGATATTTCTCCCTTAAAAGTAAGATTGAAACTTTAAGTCTTATTAGAAACATATTGTGAATGAACGTGTGTTTGCTTTAACTTAATTTTTTAAAAATAATAATAATAAATAAATGAGAAGATCTAGACCCAACCAGAAAACTTCGCCTTTTAATAAAAATTAATAATTAAGTATATGTAGTATAAGAAAACAAGAAATTTATTGTAGAAAATGAACTAAAAATGTAGGTTTATTTTTCTTGAGATTGGAAAACAGATCGAGGACCACATTACATCAATGAGAAAAAGAAAAGAGTTCAACTCATTTGGATCGAAGTGAGAAATGGCTAATGTGATCATTTCCATAGTTACCCGAATGTTATGGCAATGTCTAGCTTTAATTTTCTCCAAAGAAAAGTCACTATTTTTGGTGACTTGACTAGATTTTTTAAATTGTTACACGTTATGTATGGATGTACGAATCATTTGAATTTTTTTTTTACCAACATGTCTATGGCCTAGCGGTATAAGACTCTTACTTTCTAAAGAGAGGTTAAGGGTTTGAACTTGTGTGAGTCCCACTTAGAAAAAAAAGAATCATTTGAATTTTCCACAAGACTTTCCTATATATACCCCCTCTTAGGTGCCTTATTTTTCACTGCAAACCCTAAAATTTTACTTGGCAATATAGAGAAACAAACCAAAATGTGGTACTTTGGCAAGATATCACTAGCCATTTTTTGTGCCCTAAACCTAGCAATGGTTCCTTCCTCCCAAGCTCAGAACTCGCCCCAAGACTACCTCAACACCCACAACGCCGCTCGTTCAGCTGTGGGTGTCGGGGAAATGACATGGGACAACTTTGTGGCAGAGTATGCACAGAACTATGCTAATGAAAGGAGCCAAGATTGCGCACTTCAGCACTCAACCAATGGGCCGTACGGCGAGAACCTCGCCATTGGCAGTGGTGACTTCATGACCGGCAAGGCTGCTGTGGACCTGTGGGTGGGTGAGGAGAAAAACTATGACTACGACTCCAACTCTTGTGCTGGGGGTGAGATGTGTGGACACTATACTCAGGTGGTTTGGCGCGACTCGGTTCGGCTTGGGTGTGCTAGGGTGCAGTGCACTAGTGGCTCGTGGTTCGTCACTTGCAACTATGATCCCCCTGGCAATTTTAATGGACAGCGTCCTTACTGAAGTGCTCATCACTAAAACTACTCTATGCATGAATGCTAGCTCTTCAGAGGTTCTAGTAGCGAATAAATAATATTGGTATTGTTGGATAACAATACATATTAGAGTGAAATTATTAGCTACGAATCTCTTATTTTTTTTGGTTTTTTCTTGTATTTTCAGCATGCATTGGGTTGGCCAATCATTAATGAATTATGGTGTTTATTTACATATGCATGTTTGATACAAGAAATAATGTTGCAGCCTGATCCTAACACTCGCATGAACCAATTTTGCCAAAACAGTTCCAATTTTACCTAAAATAGTATCACTTATATTAGAGTAATGCTATTTATAAGAGTGATTATTTTAATCTATTTGTCTAGCGAAAGATCTTTCTATTTATAAGAGTGATTATTTTAATCTATTTGTCTAGCGAAAGATCTTTCTATTCATTTGATGTAGTGAATAAGCTCAAAACTTGGATTTTATTCACCACAGCAAAGGGATAGAAACCCTTAATGCAACAAATAATTTGAGAAATTGATTTAAAATTATTTTCCCTTAGAAGCTCTTAGCGCAACAAATAACGAATCGGATTTGATCGAATCCATTGAATGACGGATCGAGTCGATCAGATCGGCGGATTGGGGTTTTTTCCTAAATAGTCCAATATTCTTTAATTTTTATCCAGAGGCCAAAAGATAAATTTCAATTTACTAATATTAATTTATATATTTAAATGATTATTAGCTAATACATCCTTAGAGCCTATTAAATGATCATTAACTAATTAAATTAACTAATAGATTATTTAGGAAAAAAAAATTAACTAATATATTATTTGAATATATATATATATATTCAAATAAATCTCGCAAATCGGATTGAATTTTAGTACTCCAATTCGTGATTTGATCCGTGAGATACGGATTCAAATTTTTTGAATCTGCCACTAATTCTTGGGTGTAGCAATCTGATCCTATTCGTACGGATTGGATCGAATCGAATTTACGAATTTTTTTTCCACTCCAT